TGTGCCCTCTAGTTGTGCCATCATTCTGCGCTATCTAGAAAATTAGTACTGAGTCTCATTCTGGGTTCAAGCTTTTCAAAAACTTTTTTTTTTTAAATATATATGTCTGTATCTACGCACACTCAAATATAAAATGTTTATGTTTACTATAGTAGTCTGTTAAATTGAATGCGTCTCTGCAGTTATATTCATGTGTTGTGTTTTACTAGTAAAGAGTAATAAACCGATTCAGTTTTCTTCGCATTACCCCCACCATTACGTTTTTTAACAAGAAGTCGAAAATATCACTTTTTACCAAAAATGACAAAAATATTCACCAAAATTAGAGAATTAAAGATATTATCACAAAATGAACAAATCTGAGAGAGTTCCACATGTAGTACGGTACCTATATATGTAATATCAAAGCAATCGGATTTGCGTTTTTTAACAAGAAGTCGAAAATATCACTTTTTACCAAAAATATTCACCAAAATTAAAGATATCATCACAAAATGAACAAATCTGAGAGAGGTTCATATGTAGTACTTACATATGTAATATCTAAGCAATCGGACTTGCGGTTTTTAACAAGAAGTCGAAAATATCACTTTTTACCAAAAACGACAAAAATATTCATCAAAATTAAAGATATCATCACAAAATGAACAAATCTGAGAGAGGTCTACCCAAGGTACCTACATACCAAGTATCAAAGCATTTGGACTAGCGGTTTTCAAGAAGAAGTCGAAAATAGCATTTTTGACTAAAAATGAAAAAAATATTAATAATATTAATGGGAGCTAAAAATCTTAATATAACTACTACCACTATTTACCCATATACTTATGTGATAGACTTATTGAATAGGTTTTACTTATTTTTTTATATTTTGTGCAGATGTAAATGAACAATCAAAAAAGCCCATACCATGTACAGAAAGTGCAAAAATCAAAAACAAAGACCTGATAACTGATCCTCTTAAATTTTCACGGTCAATGAATGGAATAGCTAAATTGTTGTTGGAAGTTGAAGACTCAATAACTGATTACGAGAAAGGTTGCAGTGACTTGCAAGGACTTGAAAAGTTAAATTCATTAAGATCTGAGTTGAGAGGCACATATCAGTACATGCTTGAAATTCGTCAGAGAGCATCAAGTATAGTACAAGTACAAGATACACAACCTCCCACTCAGAAAAATTTGGTAAATACAATTACTTTTATTATTATTTTGTTTTTATAATAGTATGATTATTAGTGCTGTTCACTGAGAACATGCTGTAAAGAACTTTTCTAATTTGTACTGACAGTGCCAGTGTGGCGATACTGCATGAAAGAATGATGGATTGTTTGATTTATTTACTTGTAGCATGAATGTAGCAGCATCACCCAAGGTGATTCCCCTCAGTTACAGTTTTCAAAAGAGGAGACAGAAAGCAATATAGACAATCCCTTTGATGCTAACTGCAGTCCACACAGGGAGACCATCCCAGTGCAAGAAACTCAGGAAGTCGCATCACATGTGGTTACTTCTCACAATGGTAAGCAATTTCAACAAAGTTTAGTACAGTGTATATATAAGCATTCAGTACAGTGTATATATAAGCATTCCTTGATGGGACATGATGGAATGGTGAGCAATATACCTCATTTACGATTCATCAAAGTACATGTAGATAATAATCACTCTTTTTTTTTTCAATTCTTCCAATGATAAGGTAACACTTATCTAATAAGTATTGGTGTAGGGGAGAAAATTTTCGAAGATGATGCAAAAGACTTCTACGAAACATGTATTGAGCTTGGAATTATTAAGTAAGTATATAAAACATATGTTATATATAACATTTAAATACTAGTTATGTTCTATGTAAATCTTTTTACATGGAGACAATAAAGTTATTATTATTATATACCACTACTTTAAGGCAGTTTGAGACGAATTAAAATTTTGCACTACTGAGCATGTTACTGCACATATACAATGTAGTTAATCGGTGGTTTTCATGTAGCTTCAAAGTAAATCGGCAAGCAGTAGTTGTGCTTCTATGGAGAAAAACAAATCATGTACGTTGCCACTGTAAGGTTAGGAGAAGAATCTTCAAATGTGATTTAAAATGAAAACGCACATTGGCGAATACATGAAACTGTCAGATCGCATTGAGAACATTCAGTTTACACAAAAATAATTTGTTTGATCATTTTAACAAGTCATGTTGCGGCATTTTAGGAGGTGACTAGTTAGCGCTGCGCAATTTTAAAATGTGTGCAAGGACAAATATGGAAAAATATTACACGACTTCATGTCACTGCTACTGCATAATACACATGCTAAATGACTATACTATGTTTTTCCAATACAGTACGGAAAATGCTCTTCTTTGTATAGGAAAAAATGCTACAGAAGAACAGATCAAGAAATATTCAAAAGACCTTGAAGAAAGGACAAAAGGTCGACGATGGAATTTATTATTCTACTTCAGTGGGCACACTAATGATGAATATGAGCCACCAAGACTCCAGTGTTTTGGGGAAAGTACTCTTCGAGGTTGTAAGCTGTTCAAGCATTTCAAGATGGCTGATCAGAGATTGTACATTTTAGACACTTGCTTTGCAAATTATCTGTTTACATCTCTTGCGACAGACCAGATAATTAACCCTCGATATACAAATACACAAGTTATAGCATCATCTTCTGTGGAGGAGGCATCAGCTGGAGCTGGTAAATCAAGTGTATTTACTAAGTATTTATGCACTGTATTAAAAAAACATGCTGTGAATGAATCCAAAGATAATAATCTAATAATTAATAGTTTTGACTGTACATGTAAACTTGTACAAGATTAACTTGACGGTAAACAAAATCCAACTTTACTCAACATAGGTTTCCGCCATGGGGGACTTATGAACACGTAAATCCCACAAGTCAAGAGCATATATTCTGTGAATTTTAGGCTATTTCTTTTTTATAGTTCATTTTCCGTTCACTGCAAGAGCATATTTTGTGAATGGCGCGGACTGATCGTTTGTTACAAAATCAATTATGTATAGCACATTATTAAGAGTGAAAATTCTCCCAAAATACTTGTGAGTTTGTTGAATCCCACAGGGTGTTTTGACATCATTACAATGCTATTGTTTGTCCTGCTTTCATGTTTGATTTTACACATAACGAGGGATCTTACAGTGAACAGAAAATAGTTTATTTAAGCTTTATGTTTTTAATGGTGTTATTAAGGTGGTGTACTACTACCCGCTTGTTGATGAGACTGTATTTTATTGGATTTTTATTTACATGTTACAAATTTCTAGTTACATTGTTACTGTATTCTGTTGCTGGTATACACTTCAGACGAGTGACGCATACTTGGAATTGAAATGGCATCCTCAAACAACACACAATCCACAAAAAACAACAAGAAAACTTCAATTCTATGATATTAAAATACTTATAACCGATTGAAGTATGGATAGAAACACAGTTAGACAGCTACAAAAAATGTATACTATAAGTTGTGATGTACTAACTCGATAGCTACTACCGATAGCAGAATGATGTATTTATACCGTGACAAAACGTAGAGAAGGGGTGCTAATTTCAACAATGAAAATATACTATTTTTGAAAACGTTTCGTTTTCGCAGCATTTTCAAAAACATGCACTCTAAACCTACTCACCAATATCAACGATATCTTAACCATACAAAACGTCAAATTGGATTTACATTCAGTGTCTATGCATTGGGAAAAAGGGATGATATTAGGTGGTCCCTTCAAACAATATGTCGAGGGTGTTTCCGGCACAAAAAACAAACTGTTTGTAAATCTCACCAACTACTAAATGCAAATGAATACTTTCAACAAATATTGGTAAATTTTTCAGATACTAAAATTTGTATTGTATCTATTGTAGTTTAAGATGTGATTTTTTGTTTTAATTCTGTTGTCTTTTTGTTGCATGTATCTTATTAAGTGAAGTTTATAAATACTTGTAAAGACAAAATGTGACAGATTTCAAAGACTGTTTTCTTTCAAACATTGGTAGAAAACTGTTTCATCATTGTGCATCAATAAAAAAATATATATACAAACTCAATACTAGAAGATTAGACCTCATGGTTCAGCAAAAAACAGGAGCTGTGTGATAACTGACTTTAGCCAACCACCCGTATTTTAGACAGGTATTTTGAGTTTTAAACATGTACTTTCTGTCATGTCATCAGTAATAATTACATAAACAGGTGAAAAGTATCATATTTGCTGTATTACCGTACTTCCCCGAGCATAAGCCCCTCTCTGAGTATAAGCCCACCCATCTCTGTTTTTAAACATTTAACCAGTTGAGGGCATCCTCGAGTATAGGCCCAGGGTGTTTTTATCGGGCGTCAACAACATTTATTAAAATATGTAAAAAGTGTATTTCCTTGTATAAAAATCATGATTGGTATGGTAGTTTGGTTCCTGATTTTACGAGAAAACTCGCATTAATGTGCATGGCGAGCGAACTTACAGAACATGGTTCGCACCTTTTCTATTCAGTTATTTACTCAGGATGAGCCCTGAAGTAATCCATATTTCTTTTGAGTAGTGGTTTTTGAAACGCCAAAATGTGATCGTCAAGTTGTAAACAGGGTTATAGAGCATTGTTTTATTTTTCCGAATAATCATGTACTATCGTGAATGGAGTGTGAACGAGCAAACTATTCTTCGTCATGACTTGTTGGTGACCGTGAAAGGTTTAAATACTTCCTCTATCATCAGTTTACCTTTCTGTGAACGAAAAATGTAATTTGGCTCATTTTTCGTGGTGGGAAGACGGTTACAACTTTAAACCCACCAAAAAATGATCTTTTCTGAGGTGGTCCTTGAATATAAGCCCACCCCCTAATTTTCCCAATTTTACATGTTCAGGCCCCTGGGCTTATACTCAAATTTCAATGATCCATAATTTTCTATAAACAATCAAAGTAACCCCCTCCTTTTATAGCCTATGAAGTGTAAACAAATTGTGCGCAAATTGTTAGCCTTTATAACCAGAGAATCGTATGTTACACTTACCGGAAGAAGACTTGAGGTTAAATCCTCCAAAGTTACAGACATCTTGTAAACAGTTGATCTATATTCCAGAAAAACAAAGCATGATATTAATCTCGAACAAACAATAAAGACAACAACTCCCATATTACATCAATTCCTAGCTTTATTAAGACAGAAATGAATTCCCTGCAGTAAAAAATTGAATGAGAAGTTGCAGCCTCAATTATGAGATAGTGTGTGTGGTCAAAAAATGTGTAACAAGACTTGCAAAATTATGGCAGATAATCAATACATGTTACATGACTGCTAAGATTTGATTATGATATAGATTGAATTCATGTACGAGGGCGCATCTCAGGATGCTTTATAAATTACATGTGTGATGATCAGAGATTAATCTTGGCATTGACATCATCTGAAAACTTTAACGAATGCAATAATTGTTTGTATTGTCAAAGACAAATCCAAAGATGTGTCATCTAAAGACAATTATGTGTTGTTGTTGTGTCTGTTTCATCAAAAGTGTTTGAGTCATGTTTGCTAATATACTTTTTTTGTAATATTTGTTATACACAAATGACTTGGTGTTAATGTCTCCCTCAGCGAAGGTGCTTTGTAAACTAGTTGACATTTGTGAGAAGTATGGTATACATTACAATATTATATTTCATTCTAAAAAAACTAAATGCATGGCCAGGGTTCCATCTGTACATTGTATAAAGATCTGTAGAAATATTTAAATTTTTCATCACTTCAGAGGAAATCATTGTACAATTTTTAACAGTGTCTGTTTCATAGTGATAATTGTCTAATTAATCAGTGTATAAATAGTGGTTAATTTTCTATCTAACATTTCCGGCATTTGTACACATCATTTTTTTAGTGTTTACAAAGTCTGAAATAAAGTATAATAAAAATAATAATTTGATGTTATTTGCATAATGAAATATTATCTGGGGGAGATTCTGTGCTCAGTTCAATGTAGTTGGTTCATGCATATACTTTTCAGTGTGATAACCTACTGAATTTTGTAATCAATGATCTAAACTTGGTCCATACTACCCTGAGAAGTTTTGAATCACACAAGGTACTACTATTCTGTGTCCAAACTACCGGATGGAGAGGACAGTCAATCTGACATTTATAACATTATACCTGATTACAATGGTCTTCATCAGTATGGTAGACTCCTTGATGGAAAGTACAGTGTTCATGAGTGACAAGCACACACTGACCAGTCAAACCAATACAGCATGGTTTCAATATATGTGCTACACTGTTTTCACCAGCTTCTCTCTCGCAACATTTCTCATTCTTCCAGACACCAGCACCTGTATACCAAATACATTTTCTTTAAAATTGTATTCCTTCAAATTATCTCAAAATTGATTATTCACTAATATTTTTTGATTTTCTCACAAATAATATCGAAAGATTTATGTAAAATAGGAAACAAACTGGCTTCTGTTTGCAACTGCAAGAGTAGTTTTGATTATTCTCAGTCTACACAGTGTGCAGCCTATGCTTTAAACTGAAGATATTTTTTACCAGACAACCTGTTGCCCTCCAGCACTAAGTTCTAATATATTTTTGCATTTATTTTAGCAATAATCAGCCACAGAAAAGTATTCTCCAATTTATACTGCATTCACTGCAACTAAATGTGTTGTTCTGGATTTAGAAAATTGAAGTCCTTAAGTTGCTGTTCAATTTCAAAAGCATTAACACTAGTCGGG